CGATTTGCTTGACAGTATTTTTAAAGTCTTTTCCTTATGGACTTGAAACAGAGCGTGTCATCTTTACTAATATTATAAAGCTCAAGAGTTTCTTTTTTTGTTTCGTTTCAATTCGAATGTTGCTTCTTCAACTAATTCAGTTAAGTTCGATGGCGGTTGTTGGAGGAATGTTCAAATAAATGTAATACCATATTCGGGCTCCGTAGATCACGGGATCTCCAAATGGGGTGGTTTCTTGCCCGCAGCGAATCAAATCGCCTAGGTTTTTCAACTACATATCTTTAATCGTTTTAAACATGAGCCCAGAGCAAGAACTGGCAAAAAACTTTAACTTGACTTATTTACGGGTTCTTTAAACTAAGTGACACATATGTTACCTATAAAGAATATAAATGATCTCAACCTATTGCACGAAAATAAGAATATTATATTATATTACAATTTATTAATCTATGAAATACCTACGGGCTCTTTTATCACTACCAAAATTGATTTTTTACTATTTATTAGCTACAAGTGTAAGATCGTTAACGTTTCGCTTGCCCTTTTTATTACCTAACTGTTTTTTTTATAAAGGAATATGTATATGTAACTACACCAACGTTATGTTACATAACTCACACAATAATTGTGGATTCGTAGTTTCTTAAACGCATCTCAGACACTTGATATCGTCTTTATTGAATTTGAAGGAGTCACACACGTCTGGTTAGCTGAAGTGTTTTAAAGCTTATAAATGTTTAAGACTAAACCATTTTTCACGATATTATTAAATAATTACAATTATAGGTTTTAAGGAGGAAAAGAGAAAGCCAAGATAAGGAACAAAATAACAAATCTGGTAAGTCCATTTTTGGCATTTCGTAGTTGTGCAAGATAAAACGACAAAATCCGACTTTCAAATATTATTTAAAACAGGTTCAATGACAAATAATTATAATAATACCTAGATAATATTAAGTGGTGAGAATAAAAACTATTATTGGGATTTAATATTGGTTTGATTGTTATCATGACCAATCACAATAGAAAGGAACGTGCCTTCATTTCGTTTTTTATTTTCATTGTTTTGAACCTTATGTAGAAACTTTTAATAAAATAATTGAATAAGCACTTTATTACTACTATTAAACAAGAAACAGTCCATGTTTCAGAATTCTGTAGGAGTAAGGCGATTCGGAGCCATCTTTTACAGTGAATGTTTTTGATTTTAGACACGAAATTTAAGCCGTTCTTAGACAGACTTCTAGAGTCATCGGACAAATTGAGTACACAAGACTTAAAAGATGAAGTGAACACTATGATTCTGACCGGCTTTGAGTCCACGTCCGGAACACTTTCCTACTGCCTGATTCTGCTAGGAACACACAATAATATACAGGAAAAATGTTATCAAGAGTAAATAGTTGTACACAAGAAGTTTTCTTAGTTCAATATTTAATTATTCTTTTCGAAAATTGAACATTTACTAACCTGACTTAATTTATCGTCCAAAAAGTTGTTCTAATTTGGCTTGAAGTGCGTGGTGTCCTTTCAATTTTATTTAGAAATTATGATATAGTTTAGACAGTATCCAAACTTGCAGTAAAGAAAATAAATTCAGATTTGTTCTTATAAGAATTGGTTCAGCGGTAGGTAGGTACATACTATTCTTTTATCATTTAGCAGTCGTCTTTTTTCTCTTAAAGAATAAACGAAGTGTTCGGTGATTCAGACCGAGACGTTACCAAAGACGACTTACCCCGACTTAAGTACATTGAAATGGTACTTAAAGAGACTATGCGGCTGTGTCCTGTCGTACCGTATACTACGAGAGTTATTACTGAAGATGTACAACTTAGTAAGTAGCAAAGTTTAGTATTACTAGAAACGTAATAGAAGTGGCTTGTCGTTTTTTACATTTAAATAGATATGACTTTATTTATTTATTTTTAATTAATTCATTAAATATTCTTCGTAATAGGAAAACTGGAATTTTGTAGTGCGCAATAGTGTTTATAAAACAAGCAATAGTTATTAATTTTTCATACTATGTTTTAGAGAATGCAGTTCTGCGCAAAGGCCATCTATGCTTTGTAGGGCTGTACGGGGCCATGCATCACCCCACGTGGGGACCTGACGTTGAACAATTCGTACCAGAGCGTTGGCTGGACACCAGCGGTCTGAATCCTAACGCTTTTGCAGCATTTGGACACGGGAGACGGAATTGTGTCGGTAATATTTACTATAACTAAGGGAAAACGCATGGTGCGTTCAAATCCCGGAAATACACTAATTCTTCCTTTGTGTTCAATGTACAGAAATGGTAAAAACGTCATGTCTAAAAACTCAAAATTTAAGGGTGCCAGCATAATAGTCTGTCCTTTATCACGCTCTTTTCGTGAAGAGGTAGGCTGAGACCAAGGATCTAATATTAAGTTTTATTTTTGAACCTAGATCCACCGTAGCTCATGTATTAGACTTAATTGTAAAGCCAGACTATTTTGATGAAAGGAAATTAATTGATTCTACATAAAATTAAATTGCTTGCGTAAAACCTTTTCAAGGATGCACAATTCTGGTAACACAGATATCATTCGGTAATTAATAATGGGTTTTATGACCAGACGAAAAAAGTGGAGCTACTTTAGCAATTTTCAGGAATGAAGGGAACTTGCCATGTGCAATTTGATCACCTATGGTGTGCCAGTTAAGACAATATAAGGTTTTTAAAAAAAAATCCTTTCATATCCACTACGTGCTCTCTTAACCCACATTGCTCAAACATATGTCACAATAAAATTTATTAAAAAGATGCCATTTGAGGGCTCTATGGACTTTTTGGATTAAAAAGGTTGTTTAAGGTTCAGAATACATTTTGATATGAGATAAACAATGTTTGATCGTGGTTCCGTTTCCTTTGAAGTTTGCCCAAGGACGACGGTTTTCAACACAATATCTTGACACATTACTTTTAGATTTCACGTACCAATGGCCAGTATTAGTGGTAGATCCACATTATTTATACTAAACTATTATGTATGCAGGTAAAGTCTACGCAATGATGATGATGAAAGTGTCAATGGTACACATCCTTCGCGCATATAGAGTAAGCGGCGAGTACAACCGAATGCGCATAAAAAATATGGGAATAAACAAACCTGTGGACGGACACCAAATTACCATATATAACCGATAATATTTTGTATGTAAAATAAATTACTACCACTATTATATATTTTTTTTATTCTACAACTCTATAGAATTTGCAAATCTTTTAAATTCTCAATCAATAACAAAGCCAAAATGTATCACTTTTCTTCATAGCGTAAACACAATTTGACAGAAAGAGAGGAAACATTAGTGAAGAGTTTAATTAGACTGTTTTTGTTGTAAGGGAATATTTTGTTAATAAGGGAGTTACATTGTCTCTATAATATACGATTTGCCCTAAAGTACTAATACTACGAGGGTTGCCAATATATAAAATCAAAAACAAAAAAACAAATATGGGAAGCCGTCTATCCAGTGGCTTCGTCAATTTCATTAGCATTTCTGTCGAAGTGAAGGTCTAATCATCAAAGTCACCACCAGGATGCGCAGACACATGGCGATTGGGTTCCTGCACGCCTATGGCCACTAACAATTTCTTTAATTAATTTAAAGCAACATTATTAGCGAGTAACATGGGCTGGATGAATAGAGGAACATCGACGAGAAGTGATGCAATAACGGCTAAATTGATACCTTAGCATACCAATAAAGCTTTTTTTCTTCGCGTTATCTCGAGATCTATCTCGGGAATTAAGAACTCAAATTGAGAAATTCCTTATATTCTTTCATAAATACCAGTTTTTTTTCATTAATACGCTCGAGACAGCTTACGAAAGTAATATATTGAATAAAATAAATTATAAAAATTAGTAGTAAGTAATAGTAATATAATTAAGTAAGTAGTTTAGGTAATAAAAGTAGTATTTTTAACAAGGAACATTACTGCGCTATCGCTCGCCAGGGACCAACTCGAGTTCTAACAGACAAAAAATGTTTTTAACAATAATTTCTTAAAACGTTACTAGAATTAGGACAAAAAAATAAATAAAATTTGTTTATTATGGAACATAAGATACATGTATCACTTATTCCACGTCATTAAATTTGAATTTGTAGGCATCCCTACTCATCGGCAAAGAAGACAGAGGGTGTAGGAAAAGTTTCGATTTTGGTTTTAAACATACTCGTTTGAATATGTTAAATTTGAATATATCTATATAATATATTATTTCATTGAAACTCAGCATGTATGCTGAATTTTGTAAGTATAGGTTGGATCACAACTGAGTATCTCAAATAAGAAAACTGTAAAATAAAAATAAAGAAATAATACTTACAAAGTTAATTAACAATGACTTTAGGACATAATTAACCTTAATTATAAGCAAATAAAACAGTAGAACGTTACCTCGGCTTGTTTCTTTTCTCTAGGTTCTGTAGAAGTTCGTTGTACGAATAAAAAACTCCCGTGACTTATTGCATATTTAAATCAGAACAGGAGGCAAACGGGCACAAGACTCCTATTGTTAAGTGACCTAAGGACACTTACAATGCAAGACGGGTCACGAGCGCGTTGACGGCCTTATAAAGATATTCTTCGCTATGCGTCCAGGTCCTCTATTATTGCGGTGTAAAGTTTTGCGGCCGCTACGCCTTTCACTTTATCTATCTGGTTGGTTCTATTATCCTAAGCAAGGTTTTACTTCAACCAATCATAGTCAAACGAACAACATATTTGAGTGTTGTTCTTATCACCAATTTTGACAGTGGCCATATACAACGAGTACAACCGAGGTGGTTTGATAAATGTAGCCAATCTGACCGGAATATTGAGAACCTACTTTTTAAAATTGCTGTGAATTGATCCCTAATATTATAATTAGTATATCGACTGAATTGTAATGAGCATGCTATTAAACTAAATTGTATTATTTCATCATTTTTCTCGAATCTATAACGGTCATATAATGTGGATTTTGTTTATCACGGCATTATGTTGTCTATATTTGTACACATGGGTACATTTTTATCCGGGAAAATTTCCAGTTTATCCCGGTGGTATACCATTGCTGGGAAATGTTTCTATATTATTTTCTGGTGACACGGAAAGTAAGTCTTTCTTTAAATTTAAACGTTTAAATTATATCTACTAATATAATATAATTTCTATTAGATTTAAAAATGATCATGAAACATATTCAGAAATCTGAGGCCCAGACCTAAAGAGGTTGTAACGCCACTGATTTTTTTTTATAAAATAATTTCTAATTAAATTTTCTATTTCATGCATTTCGTTTGGATACCTTCTGTTTTTCATTCACGATTTAACAAACATGTGTTAAATCGTAAAGGGGATGAAATCCGTTCGAGTTAACTGACTGAATACAATTTAGAAATATTATAGCACAATAATTTGTCTTTAATAATATATTGTCCCGTGGAAATCAGTCTGAGAATAACAATAACATTTTAAGTCTGTATTGCAATGTTTAAAAGTCGAGACTGCGCAAAATAATATAATAAAATATACACATAATAACTGTGCGTAAGTCAAGGGTGAGGACACGGAATACATGTTATCTAACATATCTGTAAAATAGGCTCTCCACACCAACTCCACTTCCACGCACACATCGGTGACCTGCCACTGCAGTGAGACAACCCGACAGGAGATACAGGGTCAGGGCAGATGAAGTAGCTTAACCCAAATTTAAAATGAAACCTAAACTGGTGTACAGGAACCACTGCACTATTTTCTCTAGAAATTGGTGGTGCTGAGGGTTAAAATAAGAATGGAAACATTTTAAGGCATGCAACCGGTTACCACGGGCTCGCCTGCATCCGAGGAGGAAAATAGATACCCTTGAAATGCGGTGCAGGCGGGTTTCCAGGGAATGCGGTCAGCATGCACAGCGAAAATGAGGAATTTTACTCGCTGGATCGACCATGTTGAGGTCCTTACAGGCCTCAGGCTAAGGCTTGCCGAAGAAACGGAATCTTTTGTAATGAAGACTAAAGGAAAAGAAAAGAAGATAATGACTGTATATTCGAACCGTATGGTTAGCGTCTCGACCTGGAATCTCACCATCTAATTGCCATGTTCCGAACACATAGCGCGCTTATTAAAACAATATTTTTCAATTCGACTTTCTAAATAATAAGTTTACCATTATTATAATATTAAAATTTTACCTTTTCAGAGGTATGGGAAACCATAAAGAAAATATTCAAATTTTCTTTTGAAAACGGTGATATAGTTTTAATCTATTTTGGTCCCATACCTTTTTATAGTAAGTATACAAACTCCGTTATATTATTTGTTTAGAACTGAATTATTGTCTAGTTGGTTGCGGTTAAAAAACATATTTACATTTCAATAATGACGAAAGTTCTTGAAAGTGAGGACATACAACATACATATATATTATATATACAGAATAATTTTAAAATATTCGTACGAAGCCCAAATTCTTATAATTTACATACAGCGACTTTATTTAATTATGTATGAAATAAAAATTAATTATACAATTTACTTCAAATTGCCACCGGCCATTACGTAAAGATTTTAAAATAGTAAAATACTAATACGGACTTCAAAATGTCCACTCGACGTGAATTCTCGCATCAGACATGCATAAATTAAAATTTATAGCTTCTTCATCAGCTTGTTACAGTGCGCGATCCACCATCACGCGTATATGACAATTGCTTTTCTCACTTAAATTCATAACATCCTTAAAGTCTGCATGGACTAGGTGAGGTGCGCACAGCACTGTCAAAAACTAACGGTCCGTTGGCTGCAATGATCCAATGAAATGATTTTTACTTCCTAGTATTTTAACACAAAAGCCTAGAATTCTAGTTTCTATTAGTATAGTAGAAATTAGAATTTAGTTAAGTATTAACGTATTTAAACAAATCTACATTATTTCTGTGGCGGCATAATTTATCATTATTAGAACAATATGTGACCCTATTCAGCCCTAAATTATGAGTGCGTACGCCTATTAGGTCTTTAAATATTTGTTGTTGAAGGTACTAAAGTGAATTTTTAAGTTTTACTTACTTACCCAAAATGGATTTATGTTATCTCAAGTGTATAAAATGATTTGATTTGATAAAAGTTTTATAAATTTCAGTTATCACAGATCCCGACGACTGCAGCACAGTATTGACTTCGAGTATGCACCGGTCAGGTATCGCAAAGAAATTAGCGAAAACTTTTGTCGGAAATGGTCTGCTATTCAGTCCAGGTACTTTTCTATCATCCATAGTAGAATGTCATAGAGTGAGATTAAAAGTCAAAACTAAGAGCGAATCTCGTAACTATCAAAAACTTACCTTTTTGTTAATATTTTTAGGAATATGTCGAATTCCGACGAGGGTTGTAATGGTGCTGATGATTTAACTAACGGTAGATACGTTTGACATTGACGTGTTAGACTAGACGTTTAATTTTCTATTTGAAACGCTAGGACCAATCAAACATAAAAAACAGTGGGGCGATACAATCCTTAGTCTTGGATTTCTATAACTACTTAATTCTAAATAGACAAATAGACAAGTAGACGAGTAGAGATAAAAATCCAAGCATACATATAAATTATAAACAAACAACACTATAAATAGAAAGCAACGGGAGCTTAACAGTTTCAGCTAATTCTAAACAAGATTAGAATACATCAATTTTTTTTGTTAAATAAAATTTATGTTATGTTATCTTTATGCAGCATATTTAGAACAAACTAGGTAATAATAAATAAATGAGCATTAGCCATAACAGGACTACAATATACATATTAAAATTATTTTTAAGTAACAGTTTCAGTATGGAAGGAACACCGCAAGCTAATAAACCCGACATTCAACCAGCAAGTACTGGACGGTTTCATCGAAACATTCAACTTGCAAAGTCGGCGGCTGGTGCAGGAATGGAAGGAGAATGCTGGCAAAGATCCATTTGATCAGCACTTGGGTTTAGAAAAGAATGCTATGGAAACTATTTGTTGTAAGTTAAGGCCTGGTCGCGGACAAGTCTCCCCTGTTACCACGCCCCGTCTAGAACGAGGGTTGATGGAGCCGTGGGTATGCACAGAGCGTGGGTACCACATAACTCTCCGCCCCAAGCAGTCGTGCCACGGGGGTATACGTAATTCATTCCACGAGAAAAATCTCTTATACCACAAAAACACATAAACAACTAACCTAAGTATTTTAGTATTTTGGCTTGTCTTTCTTTAATTTTACGTAGAAAATACGAACATAATTTAGAATATGAATTCTTACAGTTACAACAGCAGGAGTAGACCTCTATGATCAGAATGAATTTAATAATAAATGTTTGATGGCTTTTGGTGATATTATGAACTTACTGGCGAAGAGAGCGATGAACCCATTGCTCTATTTTGACTTCTTATACAATATATCCGACATGAAGAAAGAGGAACTCCAACACGTCAAAATTACGCACGAATTAACAAATATTGTAAGTACCTAATTGATTATTAATATTTGTTAAAAAGATATAGATACATTTATTATTATTATTAATATATCTCAAGAGTTTCTTTTTGTTTTGAATGCGAATCTCTCTTTCCAAACTAATATATAGAAGTACCCAATAGTAATTGTTTTCAATAACAGTACAATAATCAACAGTAACAGTACAAAACAATAATTTTTGTATTTTCTGTAACAGTCTAAAACACCTTGGACACTTGAATATGTCATACTTAAATTGAAGGACGATAAGGTGACCCAAAAATGATAAATTCTTTTAAAGATGAGAAAATATTTAAGTCATATAATTTTTTTAAAAAGAACCATTTTCACATGTCTCATGATATTATGAAATAATTACGATTAAAATATGTACATTACAACTTATAGGTTTTAAAGAGAAAAATAGAGAGCCAAGATAAGGAACAAGATGAAAAATCTAGTAAGTCCCTTTTTTGTAAAAGTTTTGGCTTAGGCAACATAAAACTACAAATCACAAATATTATTTAAATGAAAAGAAACGTAATCTATTTGTTTAATAAAAATAATCCTACAAAAACAGGTTCGATGACAGGGTGGGTGGTGAGAATAAATACCACTATTGTGGTGGCAAAATCGGAAGAAATGTCACATACGACGCCTCAACGCGTGATTATGATGATGACCAATCATAATAAAACTTTTATATTAAACTTTTGCATAAACAAATTAAATTAGAAATCTAACTCTTAAACAAAAAATAGTCAATGTTCAATCTAGACTTGTCTTATTCATAGATATGTTCAGATTAAATTTCAATGTTCTGTGGAAATGGGGATTGAGAGCAAAATTTAGTCATTGAATTTAGGAAAATTTTGATTTTAGACACGAAATTTAAGCCGTTCTTAGAAAGACTACTAGAGTCATCGGACAAATTGAGTACACAAGACTTAAAAGATGAAACGAACAGTATGATTCTGGCCGGCTTTGAGACCACCTCCGCAATACTTTCCTACTGTCTGGTGCTGCTCGGAACATACACCAATGTACAGGAAAAATGTTACCAAGAGTAAGTTGTTTACATGATGTTTTTGTTTAATACTACCTAATTAATAAACCAAGATCAAAAGTACAAAGTTACAATATCAACTAGTAATACATGATACTTCAATTAAAAAAATCGAAGTATCCATATTTTTTCCTAAAAAAATATTTTAAAATTATTTGGTTTTTAGAGCTTCCCTCAATTTTTTCGAACGCGCTATATCTATCTCAGGAACGAGGGGTCCGGATTAAATAATTATTTTCGAAAATTAAACAATTACTTAGTTACTGGACTTAGTTTTTCTAATTTGGATTGAACCGCAAGAATATTATGTATATATAAAAATATAATATAGTTTTGGCAGTACTTACAGTAAAGGAAATAAACTTTGATTTGTTCTGATAAGAATTGGTTTAGCGGTATGTACATACTATTATTTAATCATTAACAGTCTCTTTTATCTTAAAGAATAAACGAAGTGTTCGGTGATTCAAACCGAGACGTTACCAAAGACGACTTACCCCGACTTAAGTACATTGAAATGGTACTTAAAGAGACTATGCGGCTGTGTCCTGGTGTACCGTATAGTACGAGAGTTATTACTGAAGATGTACAACTAAGTAAGCAAAAACGTATTCAATAAAAAAATGATAACTAGAAACGTTATAATCGTGGCTGATGGTCATTTACATTTAAAAAGATATGACTTTAGTTTGATTTATTAATTAAATATTCCTCGTAATAGGAACGTCAGAATTTTTTAGTGAGCAAATAGTATTTATAAAACAATCAATAGCAATTAATTTTTCATACTATGTTTTAGAGAATGCGGTTCTGCGCAAAGGCCACCTGTGCTTTGTAGCGCTGTATGGGGCCATGCATCACCCCACATGGGGACCTGATGTAGAAGAATTCATACCAGAGCGTTGGCTGGATACCAGCGGTCTGAATCCCAACGCTTTTGGGGCTTTTGGATACGGGAGACGGAATTGTGTCGGTAATATTTACTATAACTAGTATACGTGTTTACTAGTATACGTGAAGCGTCAATTATCAATCCTGGGACCATGCGTTCAGATCCCGGCAAAGCACCAATTATATCTTTGTGCTCAATGTACAGATATGGTGAGAAAACCGTCATCTCTAAAAGCTTAAAATTGACGGGAGCACAATAGTCTGTTTACTAACTTATATTATCATGCCCTTTTCCCGAAGGGGTAGAGACCAGGGATCTCCACTTGCTATGGTCCTGACATACCTCACACGCTTAATCCACCTTCATGACATTCGCCATGTATGCCGTCGTCAATTATGTGTTAACCTAGCCCCTTCTCTAGTACCTCCTGGTTTTGGTTCAGGTATGTACGACAATGTCTACGTAATATCTTGCATAAACAAGGCATGGTTATATCTTACAATAAACGGTTGCTTTGTTTATCGTGCTTGTTAACCGCTTCTCATTCATATATTACACATGGCCAAACCACCTGAACATTCCCTTTCGTTTCCTTGTTATAATGTCCTCTGCTCTATACCTTAAAATTTAAATGCACACAATAGTCTATACTATACAAACCTTATGACAAAAAATCTATGAAAATGATGCAGTTTGAGGGCATTAGGGACTCATTTAATTAAAATACTCTTTATGAGTATCAGTAAACAATGTTTATTACTACATACGTACCTTTTGCACTTGGGGTAGTTAATTACAAACCACCTTGGAACTATCAAGCAAAGGCAAAAAAATCTAAAACAAGAATAATGATACAAATTGACTCGTCACTCGACGATCAGCCTATTGACAATACTTTCTGTGTTTCTCAATTACAGCCACAGCATTACATACGTGAAACGAACCGAATGTTAAAAGGAAAAAAAATATATATATCTCTCATAATATCTTTTTATTTAATTTTTTCTCTTTGATTGTTGTTATGTGTGTGTGTTTTTGCTTGTAATAAATGATATGTCTATGTCTAATATGACTTGATCAGAGGCGAGTCGCATTAATTCCTCTTCTAAGTTCTATTATTTTCATTAAGTTACATCTCCTGTTCAATAAGCTTCTTACTTATTTCCACCTTCTATCGCAAATTTTCTTTTTCCAATGAGACCAATCATTCTTGGGCTTTCATATGAAACTAGCTTAACACGCTATCGGCCTCTTGAGGTCTGTGACACTGCATAAAAAGGTAAAGTTGAATAAATGGATTTATTCTGCTCTAATTGCCTTATGGAATTAGAACCACATTATTTATACTAAACTATTATGTATGCAGGTAAAGTCTACGCGATGATGACGATGAAAGTGTCAATGGTACACATCCTTCGGGCATACAGAGTAAGCGGAGATTACCACCGAATGCGCATAAAAAATTTGGGAATAAATAAACCTGTCGACGGACACCAAATTACCTTATATAACCGATAATATTTTGTATTCAAAATAAATTTTTATTGCTCTATAGAATTATTTATTCTAATACCTACTCTATAGAAATAAAATAAAATTACTCTCTCTTTGCTCAAAAAGCGAAATTTATCTCTTTCATCATAGCGTAAACACAATTTGACAGAAATAGAAGAAACATAAGTGAAAAGAGTTCAATCAGACTGCTTTTTATAAGTGAAATATTTAGTTTAAAAGGCAGTAATAGTGTGTGTACAACATAGTATAAAAGGTATTGCTTGAACCAACTTAGTGACCGTTTAAGGTTTTAGACAGCCAAATGTGGACATTGTTTTAATAAGAACGTGTGTTGTCCTAAAAGAGTACTACTACACAGGATGGCATTATATAAAAACAAAAATGATTCAGAAAAGTTTATTTAAAAAAAAAGTTAAAAACAGCCCCCTGTTCTCGGGCGAAGTCTAGGAGACGCTTTTTGACTACCTTCTCGTACAGCTTGCTCAGCGTATTGAGAAGGCTGGTAACTGGTGGGATTGTTTGTCCCTTTCTATTACAGCGTTAATAAAATGAGAAACATAGAGAGAGAGAAAAGTTGCGCAATAATAGTGTAAGACGATTTTAAAGCTGGGTATCGATTACGCGCTCCTGGGGCGCGCGCCATGAATGACCGCACCGAGAGTGCGTTCCGTGAAACGCGTTCCAAATATTTGAAGTATATCAACTAAGCGCGCCTGGCGCGCGTGGCAACTGTTCCAGTGTTCGACCCTTCATCATGGAAGCCAGTCAGCAGCAGCTTTTGTAATTATTCTCAGTATTATAAACAAGAAAAGCCAGAGCCAGTGATTTGGCTTTTAGATACTCTCAATTTTTCTCTTCTGTACGATGATAGGAGCACAGTCGTTTTTTTCTTTAATTCCGGCATAGGGACTCCCATTTCACTACTGATTTCTCTCCAAGCATCTTCTCTAAGCGATTTATTATGATACGAAGAACTTTTGCTATTCCACAGTAGTTCTTTTGTACCATACAGTTGTATTAATTTACGGCAACTTTGGTTATCCATAATTGGGAGCGCAACAAACACAAAAAAATACGATATGTCCGTCCCAACTGGCGCGCGCACCACGATTGATGCGTGGTAAAAAACCGACACCCGTCGGAACGGACCGCTCCGCGTTCGGGCGCTCCAACGAACACATTGGCGCGCGTTCCAAAGTGGTATCCATTGCGCGCGGCTGGAGCGCGCGCCAATGTTCGCCCTCTTGGAGCGCGTAGTCGATACGCGGCTTAACTCTTCATAATTGTTATTTTTTTGTAAATATGTTAAACACTTTATACAGGATATGTGTATCAATTTATAAAATTAAAACTTTGTAACAATGACTTTAGTACATAATTAACCTTATTTAATTTTTATATTATAATTAGTTCTACTGTTTTCTTTAATAATGTGGCGAGGTAAAAGGCTTGTCTCAACTTTTGACTAGGTTCTGTAGATTCGTTTTACGATAAAAAAAATACCGGTAGTTCACCGGTGTTTTGTATATTTTATATTAGAACAGGAGACAAACTCTCCAATTGTTAAGTGAAACGTCACCTATGGCCACAATATTTCCAGATGGGCCATGAGCGCGTGACTGGTTTTTAAAAATTGCTGCGCTCTTTTTCATCTTCACGTCTTTTTGATAAAATAAAAAATAAAATATGTTTATTATGGAATATAAGATAAAGGTATCACTTATTCCGCGTCATAAAATTTGAATAGTTAGGCATCCCTACTCATCGGCAAAGACAGAGGGTTTAGGCCGAGAGAAAATGCCGGCGTAAAAACCTCTCGGTACTCTTTTAAAATAGCAAATCATCAAACAACATTTTATTTAAAACTAAAGATTAATATAAAACAATAGATTGGATAGATAGATTTTCGCTAGATATATCTGGTTTATTTATTATCAAAACGCTTTAAGCTATAATAGTCGACGTCCAGCAACGAAGAACACATTTGAGTGTTGTTCTCAGCAATTTTGATAGTCATAGGCAAATACACCGAGTACACCCGAGGTGGTATTATAAACATAGCTAATCAGACTTGAATATTGAGAACCTCCTACTTTTTAACTTGCCTGAATCGGTCCCTAATATTATAATGAGTGTATTGACAGAATTGTAATGAGCATACTATAAAACGAAATGTTATTATTTTTTAATTGTTTTTATCGCATCTATAACGAACATATAATGTGGATTTTGTTTTTTGTGATATTATGTTGTCTATATTTGTACACAAGGGTACGTTTGTATCCAGGAAAGTTTCCAATTTATTCTGGTGGTATACCATTGCTGGGAAATGTTTCTTTATTTTCTGGTGACACTGAAAGTAAGTATTTCTTTAAATTTAAACGTTTATATTTAATCGTTATTATAATATTTAAATCTAATTGCCATGTTCCGAACACATAGCGCGCTAATTAATCTTTTTTTCAATTCGTTTTTCTAAATAATAAGTTTTTTAACTTTAACTTTTCAGAAGCATGGGAAAACATTAAAAAATTTTGAAATTTTCCTTTGAAAACGGTGATATAGTTTTAATCTATTTTGGTCCCATACCTTTTTACAGTAAGTATACAAACTACGTTATATTGTTTGTGTAGAACTTAATTATTGTCTATTTAGTTGCGGTTAGTATAAAAAAATATATTTATTTTAATAATTATGAAGTTATTGAGAATGACTGTATATATTATATACATAATAATTTAAAAATATTTGTACGGAGTGCCCATTGTAATAATTTAGGATCAGCAACATGATTATTAAATTATGTATGAAATAAAAATCAATTATACAAATTGCCACCGGATATGACCTTACAGTTGCGTTTCTTATTTAAATTGGTATCATAAAGTCTGCATGGGCTCGGGGATGTGTGCACTGCTCCGCCACAAATAACAGTTCGTTGAGTACGACCGTATAAAGGAACCGTATATTCGGTGGCTACAATGATCCAAAAAGTGATTTTTACTTCTCCGACCTTCTACTTTGAGTGCGTACGTCTGTAAGGTCTGGGAGACATGTGTACCGATGTAGGCTGCTTAAATATCTATCTATTTACTTTTTAAATATTTGCTCTTGAAGGTACTGAAATGAGATTTTACGTTGTACTTACCAACCAAAATGGATCTTTTTTATCTAAAGTGTATAAAATGATTTGATATGATAAAAGTCTTATAAATTTCAGTAATCACAGACCCCGACGACTGCAACGCAGTATTGACTTCGTGTATGCACCGGGCAGGTATCGCAAAGAAATTTGCGAAAACTTTTGTCGGAAACGGACTGATATTCGGTCCAGGTACTTGTCTTAGAATAAGATTCAAACTGGAAACTAAGAGCGAACTATGAATCTCGAATATATCACAAACTTCCTTAGCGGTGAATGTCGATTTTGAGTCTTACGTTATCTTGTTATTTAATATTTTTAGGAATATTAAGAAAAAGATAAAGTAAAATTCCGACAAGGGTTCGTGCTGATGTCTAAACTAACGGTAGATGTGTAAGGCGTTTTATTTTCTATTTGGACAAATACATAAAAACTTAACTGTTTCTTGTTAATTCTAAATATACAAGTAGAGATAAAATCCAAGCTTGAATACAAAACAGAAACTCACAATAGAAAGCAAACGGAATTAACCACTGTTTTTATTTTTTATTAAAAACAGTTTCAGCTAATTCAAAACAATATAATACATCAATTTTTTTTGTGAAATAAAATTTATGTTATCGTTAAACAAGGCTGTAATTATTGTTATACAGCAAATTAAGAACAAACTAGGTAATAATAAATGAGCATTAGCCATAACAGGATTACAATAAACATATTACAATTTTTTATATAACAGTTTCAGTATGGAAGGAACACCGCAAGCTAATAAACCCGACCTTCAACCAGCAAGTACTGGACGGTTTCATCGAAACATTCAATTCCCAAAGTCGACGGCTGGTGCTGGAATTGCAGGAGTATGCTGGCAAAGATTCATTTAATCAGCACGTGTGTTTAGAAAAGAATGCTTTGGAAACTGTATGTTGTAAGTTGATATGGGTCCGTGGTCTGGGCGCGGACAAGGGTCCGCTGTTAGTGCGCCCCTTCTAGAAAGAGTGTTAGTGGCGTCGTGGGGTTTTAGTGTGTATGGACAGATCGCGACTCCCACAAAACCCTCCGCCCCAAGAAGTCGTGCCGCGGAAGGAATAAGTAGTGCATTCCACAAAATAAAATCTTTATTCAAACCGCAAAAATATGGACTTTATAAAAGGCTTGCCTCTTAACTCAGAATTTTAGTGCTTTTGCTTGTCTTTCTTTCATTTTACGTAGAAAATACTAAAATAATTATAATATGTCTTACAGTAACAACTGCAGGAGTAGACCTCACTGATCAGAATGAATTTAATCATAAATGTGTAATGGCTTTCCGTGGTGTTTTGGATACAATAGCGAAGAGAGGGATGAACCCCCTGCTCCATTTTGACTGTTTCTACAATATATCCAATATGAAGAAAGAGGAACTACATCACGTCAAAATTACGCACGAATTAACAAATATCGTAATTAATTGATTTTTGATTTTATATTTATAATATATTTACATATCTTTTTAACGATAGTATAATGCTCGATAGTTTCTTTTTGTTTTTGGTTTGAATGCGAATCTCGTTTTCCAAACTAATAGATAATACGAAGCACCCAATAATTGTTTCAATTATAATTAATGGGTACGTTTTTTCTGAAACGCAGTCTAAAACATCTTGGACGATCTTCTTCTTCAAAATCTATGACGAATTCAAGTGAATTCGTCATAGATTTTGAAGGAATCACACAGGGTTTAGGTTACTCAAAGAAACTTTTAAATTCTTAAAAGATTATAAATGTTACAATTCTTGAAGCGGAACCAAGTTTCACGATGTTATTAAATAATTACATTTATAGGTTTTAAGGAGGAAAATAAAGAGCCAAGATAAGGAACAAAATGAGAAATCTGGTAAGTAATCATTCCTTTTCTGACTTTTAAATATTATTTCAATCAAAGAGACGTAATCTATATTTTTTATAAAAATAAGACATCCTACAAAAACAGCTTGGATGGTAAGACTTAAAACTATTATTGGGATCTAATATTGGGGGATTGTGATGATGACCAATCATAATAAAACGGGACGCGCCAACCGCGTCGTTTCGTTTTATATTTTCACCCTCTTGATCCTTATATAGTAACTTTGAATAAACTAATTAAATTAGCACTCTTACCGTTAAACAAGAAACATTCCATGTTTCAATGTTCTGTGGAAGTAAGGCCACTCGTAGCCACTTTTACAGTATTTTTTTTATTTTAGACACGAAATTTAAGCCGTTCTTAGACAGACTACTAGAGTCTTCGGACAAATTGAGTACACAAGACTTAAGAGATGAAGTGAACACTATGATTCTTGCCGGCTTTGAGACCACGTCTGGAACACTTTCCTACTGCCTGCTTCTACTAGGAACACACAATAATATACAGGAAAAATGTTATCAAGAGTAAATAGTTTTTTAAAAGAAGTTTTCTTAGTTTAATATTTAATTATTATTTTCGAAAATCAAACATTTACTACATGACTTAATTTTTCGTTCAAAAAGTTCTAATTTGGCTTGAAGCGCGTGGTGTCCTTTCAATTTTATTTAAAAAATATTATATAGTTCAGACAGTATCCAAACTTGCAGTAAGGGAAATAAACTTTAATTTGTTCTGATAAGAATTGGTTTAGCGGTAGGAACATACCTTTCTTTTATCATTTAGCAGTCGTCTTTTTTCTCTTAAAGAATAAACGAAGTGTTCGGTGATTCAGACCGAGACGTTACCAAAGACGACTTACCCCGACTTAAGTACATTGAAATGGTACTTAAAGAGACTATGCGGCTGTGTCCTGTCGTACCGTATACTACGAGAGTTATTACTGAAGATTTACAACTTAGTAAGCAAACACATATTCAATAAAAAAATGATAACTAGAAACGTTGTAGTAGTAGTGGCTTGTGGTTATTTACATTTAAAAAGATATGACTTTATTTATTTATTTTTATTTCATTCATTAAATATTCTTCGTGATAGGAAAGCTGGATTTTTGAAGTGCGCAATAGTGTTTATAAAACAATTAATAGCATTAATTGCTTCTTTTTCATACTATGTTTTAGAGAATGCAGTTCTGCGCAAAGGCCATCTATGCTTTGTAGGGCTGTACGGGGCCATGCATCACCCCACGTGGGGACCTGACGTTGAACAATTCGTACCAGAGCGTTGGCTGGACACCAGCGGTCTGAACCCTAACGCTTTTGCAGCATTTGGACACGGGAGACGGAATTGTGTCGGTAATATTTACTATATCTATCGTTATAACTACTATTTACTATTGTCGATAATGAAACATGAAGCGTCAATTATCAATCCTGGGCAGAACAGATCAGATCCCGGCAAAGCACCAGTTCTTTCTTTGTACTCAATGTACAGATATGGTGAGAAAACCGTCATCTCTAAAAAAGCTTTAAATTGACGGGAGCACAATAGTATGTTTATTAACTTAAATTATCATGCCCTTTTCCCGAAGAGGTAGAGACCAGGGATCTCCACTTGCTATGGTCCCGACATACCTCTCACGCTTCATCCACCTTCATGATATTCACAATGCGTGCCGTCGTCGGTTATGGGTTAAATTTGTCCCTTCTCTAGTACCTCCTGGTTTTGGTCTGGGTATGTACGACAAGGTGACCCGATCTTACCATAAACGGTTGCCTTGTTTATTCTAATTGTAAACCACTTCTCATTATATATTATACATGGCCAAACCATCTGAACATTCCCTTTCGTGTCCTTGTCATTACGTCCTCTTCACCCACACTACTCAAACAATAGTCAATACTATAAAAATCTTATGACAAAATATCAATGAAAAAGATTTGAGGCCATAATTTTTTTTGGGATTAAAATACTCTTTATGAGGTTTAGTACCCATTTTGATATGAGATAAACAATGTTCGTAGTTCCGTTTCCTTCGTCACGGCTTACGTTTTCGATAAAACAATTCGTTAATACTTTTTATTACTATTCGATTTTACGTACCTTTTACGCTTGGGTTAGTCAAGACAAACCACGTGGAACTATCACAAGCAAAGGCAAAAAAGATCTAAAAAAATACTTTTGACAATACTTTCGTTGTTTTCTTAATATGTCTTGATCAGAGGCGAGTCACATTAATTCCTCTTCTAAGTTCTATTCTCTTCATTAAGTTCTATCTCCTGTTCAATTAGCTTCTTACTTAACTCTACCTTCTATCGCAAATTTTCTTATTCCAATGAGACCAAGCAATCTTGGGCTTCGTGTAAATCATGCTTAACACGCCCTCGGCATCATTGTACTTCTTGAGGTCTGTGACACTGCATGAACAGGTAACGTTGAATCAATGGCTTAATTCTGCGCTAATTGCCTTATGGAATTAGAAGCACATTATTTATATTAAAATATTATGTATACAGGTAAAGTCTACGCGATGATGACGATGAAAGTGACAATGGTACACATCCTTCGCGCATATAGAGTAAGAGGCGATTACCACAAAATGCGCATAAAAAATTTGCCAATAAACAAACCGGTCGACGGGCACCAAATTACCTTGTTTAACCGATAATATTTTGTATTCAAAATAAATTATTATTGTCACTGTATAGATTTTTTTATTCTATTACTCTACAGAAATTAAATAAAATTATTCCCTCTGCTCAAAAAGCAAAATTTATCTCTTTTCATCATAGCGTAAAAATAATTTGACAGAAAGGAAGAAACATAAGTGAAAAGAGTTCAATTAGACTTCTTTTTATAAGAGAATATTTAGTTTATAAGGGAGTTATATTGTGTGTACAATATAGTATAATAGGTGTTGCTTGAACTAAATAAATTACCTTTAAGGTTATAGACAGCCAAATCTGAATATTGAAATTTTAATAAGAATGCGATTTGTCCTGAAAGAATACTACAATAGGGCATGGCATTATTTAAAAACAAAAATGATTCAAAAAAGTTTATTTACAGTTTAAAAATAAACTTAAAAAACAAAGATGGGAAACGGTCTATCCAGTGGCTTCGTCGATCTCATTAACAATTTCTGACGGAGTGAAAGTCTCATCGTCAGAGTCACCCCCAGGATGCGCAGACACATGGTGAGTGGGTTCCTGCGTATGCGCAGCACGACGCGTTCCCGGCGCACTGTATTCTCGCTCGGCCTGTTAAACGCAAGATGATAATTTTCATTATCGATAAAAAACGGAAAAGTTGATGATTGATTTTTCGTAAATTTGAATGGAAATTTCGATAGATAAAAAGAAAAAAAATCCAGAATTAATATTATTCATCTAGTTTCATATACTTAATGTTAATTACTGTATTATTAATTTGTGTGTAGTGTTTTATTATTAATTTCATGGAGCTCCCAAAACAGTCTCAAATCTGTATATAAAGAAAAATGGTCTTCTTTGAGGCTCCTTCACGCCTAAACCACTGATCGTATGACTGAAACTACCAATTCGATGGAAATTTTTCCTAATTTTTTTTATTAAATTCCATTCCTTATTTTTTTTTTTTTTACTTTTTGAAAATTTATCCATACGACTTCACCGGGAAACATTCGGGGACTTCTAGAACCTCTAAAGTCAACATCTGTTAAAAACTATTTTAAATATTTCAATTTTCTTACGGAATTAAAAGAAGAATAATAAAAATATGAAAAAATAAAATAATGAAACATAAAATTTATTTTAATTGTCAGAAAGGGGCGCGAAACGGCTAGTTAGTCTATAAAGAAAACTACTTTTACAGACGCAGAAATCAGCCTACCACATTCACTACCTCTTTGATTTTTACTTGCATAACAACGTTAAAAATGCAGAATCGTGGAGAGATCGTTTTTATTCTTATTAACCGTCACTGATAATAATAAGTAAATAGAAAGGAAATATTGGATTTTTAATTTGAAATGTAAGTTTATCACAATATAATTATAATAAATTACTTAACCGACTTTATACATTATTTCACCAATGTAAAGATACATTATCAGTGTAACATAGCTGATTCAATAGGAGAAGAACATCAATGAGAAATATTGCAAAAACTGCAAACATTATTTCCTGATAAACCTCGAGATCTCAGGAATTACGGACTCGAATTGTAAATGTCTTTTATGTTTTATTCATAAATACTTTCCAATACATCATACATACAGAGAAAAGATCAAGTTTTTGCTACTAATATAAAAACTTTTTTAAGAAGGAACATCACGACTAAATTAACGTGGGTGAAACACAACTAGTAATTAAATATCTTACCTGAGGTCGTACAGCAGTGTTCATATATAGGTCGTATACGTATCGGGCCATATGCGGCATGTCTCGTATGCTCATAACGAGCGCGTCGGGTGTGACTGCGTGCGCGCTCCGTTGAGCCGGGTATCGCTCGCCAGGGACCAACTCGAGTTCCAACGGACGCTCTACTAGCTGAAAATTTAAATAATATTTATTTTTCAGAAGTCAAACAATTAATGGTGTCACAAAATGAAACAATATCTTTAAAATTTGTACAACAAAAGTAAAATGGGCCGTCTGTGATGTTGGCTATTAAAATAAAAAATATTGTATTTTATTTAAAGATTTCGGACCTGTATCTAAAATAACTCATTTGAATTTAAAATATGGTACGTTTTAGATTTTGAAACCGACCTTGTATTTTTGTATGCAAGTTGTACATGTGAATTATAAAAAGTTTTATTTTCGTTATAAAGTGAAGTGTTGAGGCAAGTACGTGATAGACTGAATTTTATTAAAGATGTCTTGGAAGTATTCAAAATTCTAACTCATAAATATGAACTAATGTGCCCAAAACTAAATAAATTGGCTGACCGATTAACTTTCTAACATACACAAACACAAACTTTAATATTTATTTTTAAATATAAATTTTTCGAATCATTCAAAAAATTTCCGAATCAAAAATAAAACAAAACTATCGTAATAACTAAAATTGAAAAATAAAATGAACAATAATAATAATTACCTGATTGAAGGTAGGTTGCAATTCGAAGCAATTCCTAAAGAGATTAGCGCGTGCGAACACGTAAAGTCCCAGTCGAGCACGAGACGCCGCGACGATCAGACGTCTCAAATCGCGCACGTGACCCACGGCTTTAGTACGCACCAGAGATATCAAGGCGATATCGTTTTGTTGACCTTGATATTTATCCACCGTCGTTACCTAGAAATAAATGTTTCGTGTATATTATGTATGTAATATTCCTTAAAGCATTAGTGTTAATTACAATTTAACTAATATTTCAATATTAATTGCAGTATTTGCCGTTCACCACCACTATGTGGAACCAGCTGCCCACTGAAGTATTTCCAAACCAATTATACTTAGGGTCCTTCAAGAAAAGAACGTACCAATTCTTAAAAGGTCGGCAACGCACTTGCGAGCCTTCTAGCAATGTGAGTGTCCGTGGGCGCAGTATTACTTAACATCAGGTGAGCCTCCATTTAACTCCTGTTACTTAAAAAAAAATCTAATTGGTACAAAAAGGTTACCTTATGAGGTCTGCCAATAAGTGGATTGTCAGCGCATCTCTTATCAATGACATCTCTGATGAGGTGCTTCTGTCCGTTGTAAGTGGTAAGGATAGAGATCTTCTCCGCTGGCCATCCAATGATCCTCATATACATAAACACCGCTACCACGTACTCTGCCTCCGCCAAGTTCTGTAAAAAAACACAATATTTTATCTTTTAGTAACTGTAACAGAAGATGCGGTTAATATATTAAGAGTGTTCAGATTTCAAAAGAACAATGACCAACTGCTGATACGGCGCCATTTTAATAGCTGAAGGTGAATACATCAACAGCTCACGAGAGTAATTTTATATTATATGTGTTAATAGGTGTAAGTAGTATTTAAGATGTTGTTTTATACAACAATAATCTATAATATAAAAATGAATCGCAAAATGTGTTGGTAAGCGCATAACTCAACAACGCCTGGACCAATTTGGCCAATTCTTTTTTTATAATATTCCTGGAAGTACGAGGATGGTTCTTACGGAGAGAAAAATTTAAAAAAAATGAGTGAATAAGTCTAAAAACAACACTTTTCTATATTCCCATACAAAATATTCGTAATAATACTTAAAAGTCAATTTTCACTTTAATACCATATCATAAAGTTCAAGTGTTAGTGGAGGGGTTCCGGGAAGGTAAAATTTTATTTTATGGCATAATGTATTTGTTGTCTTATCAACTTTCTTTTTTTTATCTTACGGCGTCCCGAATAGCAGAATAAGTATTTAAAAAAAAATAAAGAAGCGACTGTTAGGCGGTACGATGTTCGCCAGGCCAGCTAGTGATTTATATATTTATTCGAAACCGATGATTTGAATATTTTTCTGGCTTATTTCTTTTTCGCTTCCTCTCAGTGGCGAAGACTCCTTCAAGCCCTTTAATATCGCGCTGAGCCTGGCCGATAGCTTTGGTGCAGACATCCTGTACTTATTTAAATATTCACTATTTATGTGTTAGGGTACAAAGACTTATGGATCCGTTGGTTCTTAGGTCAGCTTGCTAATACATACACTACATATTCAGATACTCCTGACACTTATTACGCATAAATTCAAATACACAATTCACACTCTACTGGCTGGGAAGCTGCATAAATAGTATTAAGAAAAACGCGGATCAAGTACATTTATGGGTGTAGGCTATAGCTTAACTCACTTGGTAGAAATAAGGGCTGGGTTCAGTTTCACCCGCTCCATTGAAATCCTCCACGTTGATCAGTTGGAAGTCGTACCGCAAACCAGCGTTAGCTGCGCGGTACTCGGGCAGGCGACACACGTGTCCCAAGTCTCCAAGAGCGCGGTATCGCCAACGATACAGGTTGCAAATACTGCAATTTTGTATTCATTATTACTTTGTGAGCTTGGAAAGCGTTTTTAACTTTCTGTTATCAAAAAACCTATTTACGCTTACAGTGTTTTAATGTTATTTCTCTGTATATATTTCATTATTTAAAAAAAGGGTGGCAGTGTGTATAGTTATTCTCGCTCGTTCGGCAGTAGCCGAATAACTGAATCCCAATTATTATACCTAATTTCGAATCGAGACGTTCGTTCTATGTCACGACATCAAGAAATTATATTTCAAACTGAGAAACTTACAATATATAATCTAATCGACCGCAAATTGTTTACTATGTCCCTAAAACTATGAGATTTTTTTTAACTAAGGTAATTAAAACTGGGTATGTTTCGTGTTTTTCTTTTTTATAATAGGCTAGTTGGTGGTCAGCCTTCTGTGCCTGAGGACGCCATCGATTTTTGGGTTAGAGGCATTCCGCTTACCTCACAATGATTTCTTTCACGGTACTCGTATGTTTTAAATATAAGATCTTTAAACTTACGTAGGCCTTGCTCGTCCCTGTGCATCCAATTCAACATATGGCACACCCAAAC